CTTTGAAATACTTTGTTGAAAGATTAAACTTGATTTGGGCCTAAAATATTATTTGGATTTTTGGACTTAGTTGTTTTGGACTTAGGTAATTTTAATTAATGTTTCTAGAAAACTTTTGTAATGTTTGGAGTGTCTAGATATTTCTTAAGGTTGTAGTATTCTCTAGAATGCTCTTGGAATTCCTAGAGTTGAGAACTCTCTAGAATTAGTGTGTCTAGAGTTCTCCTTAGAGTACTATAAATAGAGATGTAATTCTACACTTTTGCATCAAGTAAAATACAAAGTTCTCTCTTTCATAAATAATTCTTCCACCTATCAAGTTTTTCTTTAAGCCTCTAATATTCCCACACACTTTTCTTAAACACAAAAGGTCTTATTTCCAACAAAGTGGCATCAGAGCTTGAAGGTCCTCAAAAGATGGCGAATGGAGGTTTCCCTTTTCAAATGCCGATACTCAGAAAGAACAACTATGACAATTGGAGTATCAAGATGAAGGAGCTACTAGGAGCTCAAGATGTGTGGGATATTGTTGAGAAAGGCTTCAAGGAGCAAGATGAAGCCTCCTTAAGCCAAGGTGTAAAGGAGACATTAAAGGAGTCAAGAAAGAAAGACAAGAAAGCTCTCTTCCTCATTTATCAATCGGTGGATGAAGATACATTTGAGAAGATCTCCAATGCAAAGACGGCCAAAGAAGCATGGGACAAGCTTCAAACTTGCAATAAAGGAGTGGAGCAGGTGAAAAAGATTCGTCTTCAAACTCTTAGAGGTGAGTTTGAACGTTTATTTATGGAAGAGTCTGAGTCAATTTCTGATTATTTTTCTCGAGTATTGTCCGTAGTCAATCAACTTAAAAGAAATGGTGAAGATGGTGATGAGGTGAAAGTCATGGAGAAAATACTTCGCACTTTAAATTCAAGTTTTGACTTCATTGTTACCAACATTGAAGAAAACAAGGATTTAAACACCATGATTATTGAGCAACTTATGGGTTCCTTACAAGCATACGAAGAAAAACAAAAGAGAAAAACTAAACAAAAGGAGACTATGGAACAACTACTACAACTCAATACAAAGGAAACAAACTATGTGAGTTACAAGAGTCAAAGAAGACGAGGTCGTGGCCAAGACCGTGGACGTGGACGTGGACGAGGACATGAAGGAGAAAGAAGAGGAAGTTACAACAACTACTCTAACAACTTCAACAATGGAGAAAGAAGTTGGAATCCACAAGCAACAAGAGGTCGTGGAAATGGAAATTCATGGTCAAGGTGCAACAAGTTACAAATCAAGTGCTTCAATTGCAACAAAATTGGTCACTATGCATCTGTGTGTAGATTCTCAAAGAAAGTTGTGGAGAAAGCTAACTTTGTAGAAGAAAAAGGTGGAGAAGAAGAAACTTTGTTGCTCGCGTGCCAAAACCAATTTAAAGAGAAAAGAAACAAGTGGTACCTCGACACCGGCGCAAGCAACCACATGTGCGGCGATCGAAGCATGTTCATAGAGATCAATGAAGCGGCAACTGGAAATGTCTCATTTGGAGATGACTCAAAGATACCGGTCAAAGGAAAAGGTAAAATTCTCATACGCTTAAAGAATGGGAGTCATCAATTCATATCCAATGTCTACTATGTTCCTAACATGAAAAATAATATTTTGAGCTTGGGACAATTATTGGAGAAAGGATATGACATCCACTTGAAAGAACATAGTCTTTTCTTAAGAAATTGTGGGCATAAATTGATCGCTAAGGTGCCTATGTCAAAGAATAGAATGTTCCTCTTGGACATTCAAAATGATGTGGCAAAGTGTCTCAAGGCCTGCTATACCGACTCTTCGTGGCTATGGAATCTACGATTTGGACACCTCAACTTCGGTACTCTAGAATGTTTGTCAAAGAAGGAGATGGTGAGAGGCTTGCCTAGTATAAACCACCCAGACCAACTATGTGAAGGATGTCTAATTGGGAAGCAATTCCGAAAAAGCTTTCCAAAGGAATCAACATCAAGAGCGAAAAAACCACTAGAGCTCATACACACTGATGTTTGTGGACCAATCAATCCAAACTCTTTTGGTAAGAATAAATACGTTCTCCTATTTATTGATGATTATTCTAGAAAAACATGGGTTTATTTCTTGAAGGAGAAGTCAGAAGTGTTTGAAAACCTTAAGAAGTTCAAAGCCTTTGTGGAGAAAGAAAGTGGTCTTTCTATTAAGGCTATGAGATCTGACCGAGGAGGAGAGTTTACTTCAAATGAGTTCAACAAATATTGTGAAGAGCATGGAATCCGCCGCTTACTAACAGGGCCAAGATCGCCACAACAAAATGGAGTAGTGGAGAGAAAGAACCGGACCATACTTAATATGGTGCGAAGCATGCTTAAGAGTAAGAAGATGCCGAAAGAGTTTTGGGCCGAAGCAGTAGCATGTGCGGTTTACCTGACAAACCGTTCCCCAACAAGAAGTGTGCATGAGAAGACACCACAAGAAGCATGGAGTGGAAGGAAGCCAGGGATCTCTCACCTCAAGGTGTTTGGAAGCATTACATATACCCACGTTCCAGATGAAAAGAGAACAAAGCTCGATGATAAAAGTGAGAAGTATGTATTCGTGGGTTACGACTCAAGCTCCAAAGGGTACAAGCTCTATAATCCAAATAGCGGAAAGACTGTCATAAGTCGTGATGTGGAGTTTGAAGAAGAAAATTGTTGGGGTTGGAATGTTCAAGAAGACAGGTATGATTTTCTTCCTTATTTTGAAGAAGAAGAATATGAAATGGAACAACCAATGATAGATGAACATATTACACCACCTTCCTCACCGACACCAAGGTTTGATGAAACAACCTCAAGTGAGAGGACACCACGATTAAGGAGCATTGAAGAGATTTATGAGGTAACTGAAAACCAAAATGACATTAACCTCTTTTGTCTTTTTGGTGATTGCGAGCCTCTAAGCTATCAAGAAGTTGTTGAAAACGTAAAGTGGAGAGACGCCATGGATGAAGAAATAAAGTCAATCACGAAGAATGATACATGGGAACTTACTTCACTTCCACGAGGACACAAAGCAATCGGAGTAAGATGGGTGTACAAGGCAAAGAAGAATGCAAAAGGAGACGTGGAGAGATACAAAGCAAGACTGGTGGCAAAAGGCTATAGACAAAGACAAGGAATTGACTATGATGAGGTATTTGCCCCTGTTGCTCGTCTTGAAACTATTAGACTAATCATTTCTTTGGCAGCCCAGAATGAATGGAAGATCTATCAAATGGATGTGAAGTCGGCCTTCTTGAATGGTTTTCTCGAAGAAGAAGTTTATATCGAGCAACCACAAGGATATGAAGTAAAAGGGCAAGAAGAAAAAGTCCTCAAGTTGAAAAAGGCGTTGTACGGACTCAAGCAAGCACCGAGAGCTTGGAATGTTCGAATCGACAATTACTTTCGAGACAAGAATTTCATCAAGTGTCCATATGAGCATGCACTCTATATTAAAGCGCAAAGTGGAAATATTTTGATTGTGTGCTTATATGTTGATGACTTGATCTTCACTGGGAACAATCTAAGCATGTTCGAAGAGTTCAAGAAAGACATGTCAAATGAATTTGAGATGACTGATATGGGGCTCATGGCATATTATCTTGGCATTGAAGTAAAGCAAGAAGACAAAGGAATTTTTATCACCCAAGAAGGCTATGCAAAAGAAGTCCTTAAGAAGTTCAAGATGGATGATGCTAATCCGGTTGGCACCCCGATGGAATGTGGCAGCAAGTTGAGTAAGCATGAAAATGGAAAGATTGTGGATCCAACTCTTTACAAAAGTTTGGTTGGAAGTCTACGTTACTTGACAAGTACAAGGCCGGATATTCTCTATGATGTAGGAGTTGTAAGTCGTTACATGGAAGCTCCAACAACAACTCACTTCAAGGCGGCAAAGAGAATCCTTCGATATATCAAAGGTACAACAAACTTTGGCTTACACTATTACTCTTCTAACAATCATGAAATTGTTGGCTATAGTGATAGCGATTGGAGTGGAAACTTGGACGATAGAAAGAGCACTACTGGTTTTGTGTTCTTTATGGGAGATACTGCTTTCACTTGGATGTCAAAGAAACAACCTATCGTCACACTGTCAACTTGTGAAGCTGAATATGTTGCCGCTACATCATGTGTTTGTCATGCAGTTTGGCTAAGGAACTTGTTGAAAGAGTTAAAAATGCCACAAGAAGATCCTATGGAAATATGTGTTGACAATAAATCAGCACTTGCTTTGGCAAAGAATCCTGTATTTCATGAAAGAAGTAAACACATGACACCCGTTACCACTTTATAAGAGAATGCATCGAGAAGAAGGATGTGAGATTGAAGTATGTGATGTCTCGAGATCAAGCTGCCGACATTTTCACCAAGCCACTCAAGTTGGAAATGTTCATAAAGCTAAGGAGTATGCTTGGAGTCACAAATCAAGTTTAAGGGGGGATGTTAAAAGATTAAACTTGATTTGAGCCTAAAATATTATTTGGATTTTTGGACTTAGTTGTTTTGGACTTAGGTAATTTTAATTAATGTTTCTAGAAAACTCTTGTAATGTTTGGAGTGTCTAGATATTTCTTAAGGTTGTAGTATTCTCTAGAATGCTCTTGGAATTCCTAGAGTTGAGAACTCTCTAGAATTAGTGTGTCTAGAGTTCTCCTTAGAGTACTATAAATAGAGATTTAATTCTACACTTTTGCATCAAGTAAAATACAAAGTTCTCTATTTCATAAATAATTCTTCCACCTATCAAGTTTTTCTTTAAGCCTCTAATATTCCCACACATTTTTCTTAAACACAAAAGGTCTTATTTCCAACATGCTTCTCATTTAGGAAGATTCCGCATAAGATGGAAGAAGAAACTATTTATCATACAACAATAATAAATAACAAAAATTGAAACTTAAGCATTAATTAAAACTATTTATCATATAACAATAGTAAATAACAAAAAATGAAACTTAAGCATTAATTAATCCTACATTGAGAAGTTGAACAATCTGTGTTGTCTTTATCTGATGCTCTAAAGATGTGAACAAGAAATGTCATAGTAGTACTAAGAATAAGCTCAAAGTTGCAAACATCACCGACTTTCAAATTATTGTCCTTTGAGAATTTCTTCCACGTAGCACTTGAGACTTGAAATTTTAATGTAGCACTCCCCATCTTGATTAAGTATTTTGCAGGCCAGACATTTTCATTATTTGACACTTGAAAATAAATATATCCTCTCTTCTTATCCGTATCAAAGTGTCTCATACCAAATACAGACGGTATACACTGCAATGAAGGGAAAAAAAAAAAGACAAATGTTAACGAATATAAACTAATCCTTTCACTAATATCTCTTAAATTTTTCATCTACTCTAATTATCCTTTATTATATATATATAGTATATACTAACAATAATTGAGTAAAAGAGTCATAAATTATTTGTATCTTACCAATTGAAAATAGCGTTCAACGTATGATGCACGCATGACAACAACAAAAGATGGATTACATGTTCGGAAAGATTTTGCTCTTGTAAGAGTTATATTCACAAGTTTTCCTACAAAAACATGAACATCATAAGACACATATTTCATGTTGATAAAAATGTGTTGCCATTTCCATACGAATTTTACTAGATTTAATAATATGAACACAAAAGATAATAACTCATACCTTTGCGCTTTTTGTTTGTATGATGCACAGCCGCTACCTTTTGTGATTTCCCATCTTTGACAGAACTAGTGCTTCCAATTTCAAAGGAGGAGTAAGCTTGTCTCTTTTGACTTGCTCTATAATCTTCTTTATTATTGGCTTCAACTCTTTTGAAAGGATATGTTATCTCTGTAGCAGTCATATCAAAGATTTGTACCTCAAAATGAGAAGTTGTTTCATATTTGAAAACTAGAAGATCGCCATGTGATAGAGAATGATACTCTTCAAATTCTTTCCAACCCTTTTCAAACCATATTTTCCCATCACTTTTTACCAAACTTAATTTCCAATATGCACCATTGGGAGTCTTTAGACATATAGCTTTTGGAAGACATCCTCCATATTTGCTCACAAACTTTCTTGGTATCATCTGTCAAATAATTATACCAGATTAAATGCATGATAAAATTCATAAAATCATGCTACATTACTTTAGGCAACATATCTATCGGTTTCATAAAGTTGTCAAATAGTAGAAAGTAACATAACTAGATGATGTGATAAAATAAAGAAAGAATCTAAGGCTTAGGCTTACGAGCTTTTCTTGATGAAGAATTTGAGTAAGCATGATTTTGAAAAAATGAATTGGTTGTTTGAACTCAGATGATTCACTAGCCATCACTAAAACCTTTTGAATGAGTGAGAACTGCCTGCAATGATGTTTAGATGACAATCAGTGCCAAGACATGTCTATTTATAAATAAAGGTCTATTAAAAAAAGTACTGTATGTGTATTATTTTAAGCTACTATCCTACTCTTTTCTGCAAATTAGTCTGGCCTAACCATACCTGAAGTCTTGTTCTTGAAGCTAACAACAGAAAATCACATTAAAATTGTTTAAAAGATTTGTTTTGAAAATTTATTTATTTTCAAGCATAAATCAATGGACTTAAACACTGTTGAGTAGTTTAAAACTCTAAACCCTAAAATATAATTCCCTCATTCTCTAATTATAAAACTAATTTTTTTTAAAACTCTTCCAAATTTTTGTGTTTTTTCCAATAATATATCTATTAAAATTATGATTAAAAGAATACAGTACTCACTTGTTTTCTTATTGTATCATTAATTATAAAAGTGATTGTGTAAAATATACACACACTTCATGCAAATTTATTTTAATGAAGAATATTTTTTTAATACTTGTTTTCTTTATAATAAGTGCTTACACTTTATTATAATTTATATTTTAATGTCAGATTAATGTTATAAAATTTATTAATTAATGAAATAGAAAATTTGGTTAATGAATTATAAATAAAAATATGGTTAATAATTTATATTTTTGTGATTAATGTACTAATAAAATTGATTAATAATAAATTTTATTTATGCTATAAAAGTAATACTTAAAATAAAAATATTTTTTATAAAATATTATTTTATTTATAAAAAAATAAAAACACACTTAAATATTTGATATAGACATCGCTGTAGGAATAGCATTGTTCTTCTTTTAAAGCAACAAAAATCAATGGGGTTAACAATTGTGAATTTTTTTTATAATAATTATATATTAAATATTATTTACCATTATAATTAATATTTCAAAAAATTATCTAATGTGGCTAACTTATCAACAGCAGGCCGTCATTCAGATTGGCGAAAGAGAACAAATGAAAATTGGAAACCTGCAATTCGTCAGGTGAAATGGCGAATGAGGCCATGTTGGAGGAATTTTGCCAATGAGATTGGCGAATGAGGCCATGTTGTTCTACGGTTTCATTTCCATCCATTTTCTTTTTTATATTTTGATTATTTTTTTAATTTCATTTAATGTTTTAAATAATTAAAAACGATTTTTTTTATATTTTTAATTATTATTATTTTTTTAAACATAAATATTATTAATAAACTTAAAAAAATTAGATTTAAATGTTTAAATTAATTTTTAAATTAATAAATTTAAAATAATTTGGTTTAATGTTAAAATTTATTTTTTAATTAAAAAATTTACAATAATTAGGTTTAAATAAAAATAATTTCAAATTAATTTAATAAATTTATGTTTAATAAACAATAAACTTAAACTGGTTTAATAAATTTAGGTTTAAATACAAAATAAAAATATAGTGTTGAGCAAATTTTGAGTGTATAAATGTTGTAAGGTTATTTAAGTCATATCATATAGGGTACGTACTGTTTTTTTTACTTTAAATACGACCGCGAGCACATGTATGTTTTCACAATATTATATCCCAAAAGACTAAAGTGTTAGTGCAGTTCGAGTTGAGTGGAGTCTAGAATGTCTGCATTTCTAAATCAACATTCTTCGTCGTCGTCATCAGCATCGGAGGAACCTTTTCCAACGTTCGATCTAATGAAAATAAATGTCCTAGTTGTGTTTTCACCAACAAAGCCTCCGATGAAGGTGCTCATCTGGAATACACAGACGTTGGAGCACTTGCACAGGGAACTGAACCGCTAGCTAGAAGGAGACATTGGTCTAGGAGAAAAGATTAGGAAAATCAAGAGGTTGGTCGAGGAGACCGGGAGAAACGGAGTTACTCGTGAATGGAGAAAAGTGGAAAATGATGTCGGTGTCCTTGTGATGATGTTGACACCCAAGAAGATAAAGTTGATGGTCGTGATATCGTAGACGCTTTGGTGCAGTGTTCTGTTTTAAGTCTTTACGTTGTTGTTATGTTTGTTTAATTTATGTTGCCTTCGCGTAGTGTTCTGTTGTCATGTTGTTGTTGTGTCAGTTAACTATGGTTTTAATTGATTGAAACCTGGTATTATTCGAATGAAATTTTCTATTAATCTTATAAAAGTTGCTATTAATCGAATGGAATTTGATATTGATTTAACAGGACAAGATTAAATATGAAACTATGATCTGCTGCTTGATCCTACGTTAGGATATTTTGTTCGATTGTGTCCTGGTTGCCGACACGAATTACACAATCTCACCAGCTTGTCTGCGGTATCCATCTCAGTTCGAATGCGCATGCTGTTAGGCCGACCCTTCTTCTGTCTGTGCATCAAGTCATTATGCCAAACAATTTCCCCTTCGTATTGAGGCCAATAGTCCTCCTTTGCCACCACTTGAAAGCTGCATGTGTAGACATTGCATAGACTAATGACTTGGTGAACTGCAGAAAGAAGGTTGGTTGGGTCCTGGGGCAACTTGGAACATGCTGCTATGACATGAGAGCACGGCATACGAAATGCTTGAAACTTTCCACAATCACACCAACTCTTATCCAATTCAACACGGTAACATCCCCTAGGCCTTCCTTCGTTGTGATCCATAGACTCGGCAACACTGAACCAACCAGTTGTACGGTGAAAGATCGTGACCACGTGTGTGTTGGCTTTGACAGCTTCCTCTTTCATAAATTTTATTGAAGTATCGCTATACAGCTGGCCCGATTGTAATACCGAATCCCACTTCGTACGTCTGCTATCAAAGAGTGATCCTAGCCTAAAATAGATTGCCTTTAAGGCAGTTATTGGGAGGTTTCGGATTCCCTTGAAAACAGAATTCATTGACTCGACGAGGTTAGTTGTCATGTGGCCCCATCGCACTCCATTGTCGTATGCCCGCGTCCATTTCTCCCTATCAATGCTATCAATCCATCTTAATGAGTCCATGTTGTTCAGTCTGATCTCGTCCTGGTAGTATCTGAATATGGGTTCAATTAGTGCATATCACGCGTTCACAACCTTCTTTCGCAGCGTCAGCGTCTTATGCAATAGACGTGGGTCGAGGGAGGATCCTGCCAACTGTTGTCATGGTTGTTGTATGCACTCTCGATGGATGGGTGTCGATCGGAGATCAAACATAAGTTATTGTTGTTCCCGTCCTGTGCCACAACCATGAGAAGTGTGCCCTTATATTTTCCGTATAACCATGTTCCGTCAATTTGAATTATAGGTTTACAAAATGCAAACCCTTTGATGCATGGTTCGAACGCCCAAAAGACTCTGTGGAAAATTCCATTTCCACCAATACAAGTCCCGTCTAGTGTACAAGCAGGCATCGTCTCCAATATCGCCACAATTCCTGGAGAGTAGTGTTTAAGGGCCACCAGGAATTTACGAAGTTTCTTGTACGACTCCTCCCAATTTCCAAACACCCTTTCAACCGCTTTAGTCCTGGCAATCCAGGCTTTTCGGTACGAAGGAGTGTAGTTGTACCTTTGTACCATATGTGCAATTATGGTACTCACCTTCAAAGACGGGTTGTCGCTAACGACTGACAGAATCTCATCGCAGATCAATTTAGAGCTGAGTTTGCGATGGTCTTGCATCGGGTTCGAGATTATACAACTGTGGGACAGACCCATTGACCCTATATTCCATGAATCGCTTCTCTTCCTGAAAGATGCTGTTAATCGGAACGGGCACTCCTCGTTACGACAATAGATCGTATACCGCGTCGCATTTGTCTGATCGACTCTGTAATCGGCTGACAACTCCATGTGAAACTGTTTGATAGCCTGGACACAATCTTCTTTCGTACGAAACTCGTCACCCTCTTTTAGTTGCCCCTTTATTGTGTAGTTGAGGTTGTAGAAAACATCCGTCGAGGTTTCATCATCACCTAAGGTGATAGTAGTCATGTGTTGCGGTGGACAATAGACATTGCCAGGTTGAACTTCATCCTCTAGATTGTTCACCATCTCGTCAACAGTGACTTCAGTTGCTTCTTCTTCTTCGTCAACGACATTGACTTCAGAGTGTTCATCTTCCTCATCGCAAAAAACTTGAGACAAATCAAGTTACTGAGACAGTTGTTGTTGTTGTAACGTGACATATAACACGATATCTGAGAACCTAGAATACTCATGACTGCGGAACATGTTACGCACATCTTCATCGTCTCGGACCTGTAAAGGGAAAAATTTGCATGAATCAGGTCCGCCAAAAAATACTGGGTTTTTGTAAATTATTTGCCCAACTGGACCACATTGCAGTTTTTTTCTATTCTTGACTTCAGGTGTAAAAAATTAGACCTTCTGTTAATTAAAAATCTTGTAACATTCTTGTTTCTGAAATTGTATTCTGACACTTCACATTCGAAAACTTCACCGTTCAGATGAGCGAAAATCATATATTGTGATGTTTGAGACATAGCGAAAATTGTGGTGTTTGAGTGTTTGAGTGTTTGAGTGTCTGAGTGCTTAATGTGTTTGATTGTTTGAGTTTAAAGAGTTTAAAGGCTTTATAAAATGGGCTGAGTGTTTGATTGTTTAAAGAGTTTAAAGATTTTTTTACATGTATCAGTAAATGAATCTGTAATTTTCACATGTGATACTGTCACACCCTAATTTTTGACCCTAAGATCTCATCCCTTTTGTTTTGCTTGTGCTTTATCTTTACATTCTTATGTGCATGTTTATCAGGACTAACGAATGTGTGCAGGGTCATTTTGTTTTAAAGTTATCTCCGGCATTTTTTATGATCTGCATCCCCTCAAATCAAAGTTGTGATCTTTCTCCAAGTCTTCTCTCTGCCAAGAAAGGCTTGTCAAGTCAAGATTCATATGATAAATGAGACCACGGGCTCATGATGGTGTTATTTGTTTCTTTTGGAATCCTTTGGGTAATTTTTGCTCAGTGCGCTTCATGGGGATTTAATTGGATTTCAAGGCTTTTATTCTTCAACAGGCT